CTTAAGAAAAGTAATTCTAATTTTTATTACAGCCGACAGGTGCTGTCAGTTGTATTTTTTGTATAGAGGATGATTATGCTGTAATGAGCAAACGTTTGAGTTGACAATCAGCGTTAATGCAACATTTTCAATAACTTTTAAATCAGAAAAATGGCACAAATATTTTAATAAACTGTCGCCGAGATAGGTGATCATTTTTGAATTGAAAGTACAATATCTTCCATGGTAAATTCTATACTGACATATTGTTCTTTAATAGGTTGTGAATGCTCAAAATGCATGTTTATGAAACCCTGCATAAGTATTTGTATTTTAACTGTTGACCAGAGGAAAAGTAGCCATCAGCATCCTACCACCAACGCTGAGAGAACGACTATCACCCTTATGATGTGCCCGCAGCTTAAAGTGAGGATAATATTTAGTACGGATTCGAACCCGGCTCGCGACCTGAAATCATTCACATATAAAATCACCTTTTCACATTCAATATTACTTTAGACCTACATATTTACAGCTTATTTTTCCTGTTATGAATATTCTGAGAAAACTTTCTCCAAAATAAGGAGCACCAGAAGCATAAAAAGTTATATCTGCGTCTAGACTTCCTTTTCAGAAATTTAGCTTACATAATGTATATATAGTCAAGATGACTTTCGTTTCTATAAATGTACTGATAAATCTCTGCTGTCGTATTCATTAGTCTGTAAGTTCCTAGACAAAACAATTATTTATAGATGGAGAAGAACAAGTATGTGTAAGAACTCGTGTCTGTCTGTAGAATATAATGTGAGGCTGGAATAAAAGAAAAAAAAAACGCATTTTTTTGTAATTAAAAAAGAAAACACAGTACAAATTTATTTGTAGTTTGTATTTATGGAGTTTTTATGAGAGAGAGTAAAGTCATTAATTTGAAAAATATCAAAATATGTATTTTGTACATAGGTTTTGTTTCTCCCATCTCGTTTCAGTCATCTCTGAAGCTCTATGCACAAGAACGTAGATAAATTAAAAAATCTGTAAGTATAATTTTGTCGCCTAGTATGGGTTCCTTTATTTTTCAGTTATTGACATTATATTAAATACGGTGTCATCAATATTTCTGTTAAAATGGGGAATTTTTAATACTAAGATGGACAACAAATACAGTCAATAATTTTTTTGAGATTCGTATACTTCACTTTAATTGTATGTTGTTGTAATTTATTTGCAAGTACAAGTGTTCGGAGGATCAGAGAACAAACATATCGCCGCTCTTGCTGCCAAATAAGCTATTAATGCTCTCAACTAGTAGTAAAATACATCGTAAATTGGCTTAACAAATAAATCATTCTTCAGACTAGCCCAAAGTTACTGATGAGGAGTATATCCGTCTATTAAACCAGTTTAAGTCTGTTCTACCACGAGACGGGAAATAGATTCACCTGAAAATCAATTCATGGTTATTGAAATTAGGAATGTAAAGCCATTTAAAATTATGCATTTAATCTGCAAAGAAAAATTTAACGAAGTTTTCTCTAAGAAACTTTACTAATGCATAATTAAAATACTTCATCTTGTAAGTTGCTAATCAGATGTGATAAGCAAGATAAACTCGCATTTAATTGACATCGTTATTGTGCATCAAATAAACAGGACTGTACACAGCGTCTGCTAAATACTGTCTCGTTCTTATTAGAAGACTTAATTGTTTTCATATTAAAATAAAACCACTTGGGAATTTAGTTAGATCTTCTAAAAGCTGAGGGGATAAACATAATTGTGTAATCTTAAAACTGGTCTTGATCTTCAAGATGGATTGGAAGGCAAAACGATTTTGAATAATATATTTGTCAACTTTGATCTTGACATTAAGTTCATGAAAGTTTACCTTTATATTGAATATCAATTTCCTCTTTAAAGGTTACCATTGTGTTCACAAGAAAGTATTCGATTTGTCAGCGTTTAAAAATGGTCAATACACATTGAATTTATGTTAGAATTATCTGCAATAAAACATTCTATTTAACTATGCCGGATTAAGATCTTGATCCTTAGGTACTCTATTTTGTACACTTAGAATGTGTTTGGTAAAAGTGCATATCTATTTTATGTATAGACTTTCCTACAGTCACATTTTAGATTATGCAAGAAGTTGTCGTCCTATATAGAATTTAATTGGAAAAGGTTGTGCAAATATGCCACTTATATGTACTCTGCTTATGTAGAAGGTTCCTTATCATTAGCGGAAGTCTATAGGAAGAAGAAAACTAGTAAAATGATATATACATTTCTGACGTTTAAAAGCATGTTTACTAATGTAATTCCCAAAGGCTTATGCTTATACATCGTTCTGCTTATACATCGATTTCAGTGATGAAAAGCGAAAACAGAAATGAAGGAGACAATCACCTGATAATTGTGAGGCTTCCTTTATCACACTCTCACTTGCACTTTACTTAAATGACTTCCACCTTCATCCTCTTTATGTAAATTTAATTGAAAAAATAAATGTTTAAGTTCAGTTTGCGAGATAGCAGTTCCATTTTTTATTATTGTTGTTGTATTTATCGTTCATTTATTATTTTCGTCTGTCATTTTGTTTATCTATGAATTTTTAGTTGCATTAGAATGCTAACTCACATTCTAGCTAATCATTTGCATTTTAAGTAAATATGTATGTATGATGAAATTGCTTCTCTAGCGATGACGTACACATACTATTAATGTAGCATAAGATTATGTAATCATATAAGGTGTACTCTCGTGACCTACTCAGTGAAGAAATATCCCGTCAAAAGCTTCACTAAGAAAGAAAGTCATGAGATAGTTAGAGAACGATACAGTTAGTCAATTATTGCTGTTTACCACTCAAAATTGTTATTAACATTAAAAGGTATTTTTTGTGCTGCTGTATTTTTTTTTTGGACTTGAGTTTTTCTTTCTGGTTCTTTTTCCTGATTCCATTATTTGAAATAATATTGATATTTACGATACATTGTTCATTAACATTAGTGTCAAGACCTGGCCAGGGACGTGTTTATTAACTGTGTTTTGGTAAGTGTTGAGTTTGTCTCTAAATGTTGTTATAGTTAAATAACTTGCTTTTTTTGTTGAATCCTAATTGTAGAGGCATGTTTATTTTAGACCGTTACAAGCTGTTAAAATAATGCATTATACCACAGTAGAAACCTTTGATATCTAAAACATTTAAATGAGTTAGAGAAGTACATGCAGAAAATATTTACGTCTAGTACTCAATAAACGTACGAGAAAATTCAAGTTAGTAACTAAGATATTTGATTGTTAGGCATATAATTTCGTCTATTATAGAAAGAAGGTAGACAAATAATATTCAAGAGAAAGACGATTCCTATTACAGACAACGAATGAACAATAAACAATGATATTTATGTAAGTTAAATACTGCTGTTTAAAGCCTGCTGCCTGAGGTAGCTAAAATGTTGATTAGAAAGTTGTTAAAAAGAGTCATTTTATCAGCTGTCTTCACTAGCACAAACTTATATTATTTAAATATCTTATTTTACTTGTTTGTTACAGATATTCACGTAAAACTACACAAGAACTACCTACGCTAGCCGTCCCTACTTTTTAATTGATAGAATAGAGAGAAGGCAGTTAGTCAACATGACCCACCGGCAACTCTTTGACTATTCTAATCGAATAGTTTGATTTGTACGTCACTCTTGTAACATACATGCGTCCATAAATGCGAAATGTAATTTTAAAAAATGTGATGCGAACCGTTAATCCTTGGATCCACAGATCAGCAAGCTAACCACTAGACTACGCATAGCACTCCTTACCTCTAATACCTCTCTTCAGATAACTGTACGGACATTAAACAAAAGGTTTAATAAATATAAACAAGGTATTGATTTATTCATCTTTTTGACGACGTTGAAAATATATACATGAAAAATGCCTGTATAGCGGTTTCTACTTACTCGTTCTCAAATGATGAAGAAGTGTAATAATTTAATGTTTTTAAATAATCCTTTGGAAAATATAATTATCTTGCGTAATTTTCGAAAATCCTTTTAATTGTACTATGATAGAAATGTTTAATTCCCAAGGAAATTAAAAACCTTACATAAACACAATATTAGAACACCGATAACTTATTTGTACTCCATATAATTATTCACAAGGACATTAAGTATAATAAATAAGAAAATAGCAGCCGGTCATTATACAAAATGAAAACAGAATCACGCGTATTAATATTAAACTGTTGCGGATTTTGAAATTTCTGTTAGTGAAACTAAATAGTACTGTAAACGATATCGGCCCTTCTTGTAAAAGAGGTGTTCATACAGTCATATCTTTTAACTTAAGTATTGATACCGTATGATACCACAAAATATTCTTTGCACTTTAACCTATAGGTATGTTATAAGAGTGTTTGTCACTCCCTCTAGTGGCGGTGGCCCTGCAATAAATACAACATAACATATATACTCTTTTTACACTTACCTGACTGCGGGTCTTGCACCCCTGCGTTGATTCCAAAATCTAGGAAAATAAATACTATTTGTTGGAGCATTCATTTCAATAAGAATCGCTTAATGATCAAATTATTAAACAAAAGAAGGAAATATATTAAAAACATCATATCTGTCAAATCATGGTGCATTCTATAACACTTAGGCCTTATAAAATAGATGATTAACTTTAGAACATTAAAAATACATATTAAGCAGATAAAAGTTACATATAAATGGCAATTTCTAAAAATCATTATTATATATATTTTTTTGAATTAAGCCTTCAAATTATTCCAAATTAGAGAAAACTGTTCACCCCTAAGAGAAAATAAGCACACCTTCACAATACATTCGTTTTATCGAGTTCCTTCTGTTGTGATTTATTAAGTTTTCTTATCCTTTCCATGCTTTCAAAATATCATCGATGAACCATTATCTTTAAGTAGATTTTTTACAATATTCCATCTATATGAAATATGAAAAACAAAGCAAGTGGAATAGGCTAAAATATTACAGGGATTTGAAATACCACAGAGCATTGTAACAATGTAATATTGCATATACCCTGGTAAATTAATTACATAAATAGTTTTTCAACTAAAATATTGTATCTGTAGCTTAGCCACTCTGATGAGCTCTGATATCGAGCGAGAGGTCTGGTCAGGAACGATATGCAACACTTAATAAATTATAGTTGAAATGCAATATAGACACTTGGTACTTATTACCAGCTAATGATCTGTATACAGACAAACATAATATACATTTCTGGAATTATAACCTCAGTAGATAAGCTTTACCTATTATCTCTAGTTATCCGGGTGTAATAATTGATATTATTTCTACAAGTTTGTTTCATTAGAAATATCTACCTTCTCACAGTTAGTCGCATAGAGTAAATAGTAGTTTACAGGTGGGACGCCGCGAGCTTTAGCATCCATATGTATTCGTAATTTCATTTTTTCTTTTCTCTGTTTCGCAGAAGTGAGGAAAAGTGAGGCTTGCGAATAAAGGTCAAATATAATAGACGGCCTATCTTTATCACAGTGTGAATGTAAATACCTTTCATACTAAGGTACGTATATTCTTCCCGTTAATCTTCGCACTAGCACGTATTTTATTCAAATCACCAAGTAGAGAAAGAAAAGAAATGTTAGTTTTTTGAAAAAAAAAGTGATTTAGGTATGTGGTAAAATATGGTTTTGAAACATTCTGTACCATATCCAAACTTTAGTGTATAAAACTACCTCAGTAGGTAAATCTGCAAAATAACATACAAGTTACTTTTTACTTTCTTATTGATAGAAAAAGTAAATGTTACATAATATCAGAAAAAATAACTGTTTCTAGTAGGCAGCACTTAGCCATTTTTTTTTTATTCTGGAGTAACCACTTGGGTCCTATCTCTAATCGTTTTTTAAATACATCTTTCAAAACTATCTATGCACCGAATTAATTGCGAGCCCATGATTTGTCCTAGAAACACTTGAGTCACGCAAAAGATTAACACAAAATTCCATATCTTACCAATTAATGTTAAAGTACTCTATATCTTTTACATAGAAAATGAGCGATTGCACCTACTTTCTTTGGGCTAGTTCTTACAGTGAGCATTGCAATAGAAAAAGATCCCCAAGTTGAGAGATATATCAACAAGTCAGTGAAATGAGGTTAAATCTATTCGCAAATGCCAGAAAAACTAATTCACCATACACTGAAAATGTATTTTCTGTTTGATTTCTCATTCAAAACGTTTTAAAGTGTACCGTAGTGTTTTTTTTTTATTTTTCCACACTTCCTTAAGGAAGATAAATACTGAGCGAAAACCTATCGTGACTTAAGAGTTTAAAAGTATAAATTAAACCATCGAATAATTCATCATATCTGTATAATACAATCAACTAAATCATTTTAAATTTAGCACGGTTTTATACATTTAACCACGGATTTTGTAATAGCTATGACCGTTGCAGAAACACACTTGGTAAATTTAACTATTTTCTGATAAGAAGTGAGGATTCTTGTACTACCAAGCGACAACATTGTGCTAGTTGACATGTCCATTAATAATAGAAAATGTCTGTCAAATGTTTCTTTCAATGCATCTTATAAAACTTCACCTACCAGAGACAAATCGATAAGTAGCTTGAAATCCTTTGTAACTTAAGGAAGATTTGGTTGTATGGAACTCCATGATCATGTAAGGACCATTAGACATTAGCTGGGGAGGGAGGGCGTGTCCACAATTTGTTTTTAGCGCTTCTATTTGACCTTTGATCTTGATAAATGCCTGGACAACATCAACTCCTTCACAACTAGAAAAATATATGACACCTAAAATATTGTGATCATGTAAGTAATTTTGTAAGTTAATGAATGTTTAAATTCATTCAATTTACGAAACAGTTTCATTATGGATTGACGATTTATCTGTACGATGATTCATTGTTGTTTTTCACACATTCAAAACTATTTTGGGATCCTAATTTAGCACCCATAGAAAATACATAAGTGCAGAAAACATTGTAGTAATATATATAATATATTTTATTTGATCTTGTATACTTTTTTAGCAAATCTGTTTTTGGAATCGATGTTTTTGAGGTTCCGTAATGATTTACATATAAGAAACATTCATCTCTAAGAAGAATATAATAACTTTTATAGTCTACTACCTACATGTAAATATACATCGTCCAAATGATGTGTCAATAAATATTCGCTTATGCGTGTTTATATCAAAATATGATGGTAGATTGTTGTAGTATCCAAAATTCCTGTCTTCTCACTCATGGTCTTTATTTCGAAGAGCAGAGATACCTTCCGCTAATATTTATGACTTAAGGATTTAGTTTTATGCGTCAAAGAGCTACCAGATCTAAAAAAGACAATTACTGAATTTCATTTTGCTTTGTAAGCTTTGCGTGATGCTGTTACATTACTTTTTATAACTAACAAATATGGTTGTGAAACATTGATAAAAAAAGTTTTCATTTGGTAGGAGACAAAGATTCATTACTGTCCTTCTATAGACATGCTAGCACCTTCTACAGTACAGTCAAACTTTCTCCACTTCCTAAATAAGTTTCTTAGATGTAAACCTAACATTAAAATATGGTGTTCTACGTACTGATTTGTACTGAAAACCAACGGATAAACTACAATCCTTACATAATCAAACCAAACACAATATCACATTCAATCAAGTACTTAGATTAAGAAGATATGTTCTGACACTAAGATCTATGACCGTCACATTAATTCTTTGAAACAGACAATGAATGAAAGAGGTTATAAACAAAACACTATCACCCAACAACTTGACAATGCGAACAATATACCACGTGAATCTGCCTTGCAAAAATGACCTAAAACAAATTATTATCGTGTTTACTAAAAAAAAAAAAACAAAAAAAACTTTACCACCTCCTTCAACTTAATGATCGACAAAATCTATTTTTACAGAAGTTCCTGTCGATTCTTTCAGAAAAAATAAAACTTTGCATTCACACTTAGTTCAGGTTAAAGTGAACTTTAAGTCGACACCAGGTGGAAGTGGTTCTTGCAAAAGTGCTACCAAACCTGTAAGTTAATGCAGAAAACGGGTAAATTTCCCAATAAAGACAACCAAAATTTGTTCGAAATCACTGATTCCATAACCTGCTCTATAAAAATACCCACAAATCAACAATCAAATCAGACAAGGAACATCTGGACGCAAAACACTTTAACGTGCCTGGACACTCCCTTGAAAACATTAAACTGACAGGTATAGAGACAAAATTTACATTTAACATAAACAGGAAAATTAAAGAACCTTACTGGATAACACTATTAAATACTGTAACATCAAGTGGCATCAATCCCGGGATTGTTGACCTTCGCATGTCTATGAAATTATTTTCAAAACTAAATTCATAATTAAACTTATTTTACATTATTAGTATTATTCATGCTTTAATTTCTCTATATTGGTAATATTTTATATATATTACGTCACCACCTTTTGCCGTTATTTTATTTTTATTTTTAATTTTATCTTTTAAAGAAATTGGTTAATATTTCTTATGACTATTATCACACTTAGGTCTTCTATGTACTGTGCACACCTCTTTGGCACAAACTAAACCTGACACCAACAACTTTAGGTTATGATTGGTTAGTTCACAAAGCTAACTTATACTGAATATCCAGTTTACCTGACGTTGACATCAGTGACTATATATTTCATTACGCTCATTAAACACAACCCTTTATTCTCCTGAAGAAGAATAGTGAACTATTCAAAAGCGCTCGAATTTTGGGTCTCGTTTGAAAACCATCAAAACATTCGACGTGATATACTTGTTTGTTTGTTCTATTTTTGAATTTCGCGCAAAGCTACACGAGGGCTATCTGCGCTAGCCGTCATGGGTTAACATATACATGAAAAAAGAATAAAATAGTGTAAAACAATTAGTTCTTCCTCAAAATATTCAAACACAGTTTATGCGAACGTTTCTTGTTGAGTTTCTTGCAAACTTTTAGACAAAACGCCTTGGTAGAATATGAAACGCTTTATAATTATCAGATGTTTGATTGGGGTCTTCATTTGCAAAACACTGCTTTAATTTTCTAAAATAAAGATAGTCCACACATTTTGAATATTAATTTTTTATCCTTCTCGTGAGCTGCAAAAGAGGAGGCCAACATCAAATACTGGTTCATAGTTCATAGAATTTTTACTTGTTCGCGTTTTAAAAGATTATGCCACAACAGTTCTCGACTGGTGACAGCTTTTAAAAACTCTTCATATACGACTTAAATGTATATCAATAGCCCCGACATGGCCTGGTGTTTAGGGCGCTCGCCTCGTAATCTACGGGTCGCGGGTTCGAATCCCGTTCTACCAAACATGCTGCCCGCCTTTTCAGCCGTGGAGGCGTTATAATGTGACGGTCAATCCCACTATTCGTTGGTAAAAGAATAGCCCAAGAGTTGACGGTGGGTGGTGATGAATGTCTTCCCTCTTGTCTTACACTACTAAATTAGACTAATCTATCTTAAACATAATATGCTGAATTGACAAGGATAAGCATTTACTTCGCATCTAAATACTGCTTGTTTAATAAAATTATTTTTTAAACAATTTAAATGGGATATAAGGGTTATTTATATTAAAACCTACATTATTATTTTTTCTCTGTCGGGTAAATCGTTCGGCTATTAAATTTTTGCTAAGCACCAAAAAAAGCTCCAGATATCAACATGATTGTGAAAGTGTTTTTGTTCTTCTCTAGTTTTGGATCTTCAACGACATTTTAAGAAATATTGCAAATACGATAACCATCTGCTTACCCTAAGTACATTTCTAAGAACTATATAAGTGAAATGCATATGTATGAATGTATGCTCAATAAGTTAGAGAACTTATAATAGAATTCCAGACTTATCGTAAATCATGAGTTACTTTGTAATTAAAGCTTACCGCTGAGCTACCAAGGAGCTCGTCTCTAGGAAGGTGAGGGATTTGGTGTTACTATTTTTTATGTATTCTGCAAATCTTACAGCATGTTAGATAAATAAACAAAGTCTGATATAAATAATATTTTTAAACATTTATTTATTATATTCAGTATCTTTCGCTATTTTTTTTCTGATTTATTATGTTATATTGATGTTTATGGAATCTTTATAATAATTTGAGAAAGATGCAGATTTACATAGCATCATATATTATATATATATATACAAAAGTTTGTAACGGTTTTAAAATAACAAAAATCAACTATATTTAAAAGGAATCAGCACTAAAATTCTCAAAAACAACAACATTTCTTATGAAAAATGGGGGTCAAGCGTGGCTCGGTGGTTAGTAGGACTTCTCTAAACAAATTCAATCAATGTTGCAAACACTGATAAAAAAGAACAGAAAAGTGATAAAAAGTTAATATAAACCGACAGATACATACTCCCTATTTGTACTGCTATGTGCTGGTTGATAAAGATCAAAGTCGGTGAAGAGGATCTGCACCCTCTCCTTACCCCTTGCGGTGAAATGGTAAACACAGTGAACATTGGCAGGGTAGGGATCAGGATAATTAGGGCTTGTAATGGTCCCATTTTTGGAAACAGCACTAGTTACCCACACATCACAGTGTACACCTGTAGAAGTGATAACGAATAACATTAATAAATAGCTTCTTAAATTAATTATTAGAATAAACTGAAAAAATTCATATTATGAACCTAATGAAAGTAAATTTTCTAACAAACATTATTTTAATGAAAAATTCGATAAGTGAAAGGAAATTCTGCAAATGTGACTTGAACCAGGGACTTTTGAACATGAATAATTCTCTATCCTACTATATTGTCCAGGAATACAACTCATTACTCTCTCCCTTAACTCGCGAAGCTTTCTATCTATGGCTATAAAACTTCATACTGTTAGGTCGTCAAGAAATTGATGTCGCTTTATTTTAGATGAAAAAACACGAACCACTTATATATCAAAACAAAACACTTACTAAATGAAATAGTCTCAATTCTTATCGATGATGGTTTTCCGTCTTACAATCAGATTGTTAATGCCCTGATAAAAGAAATCACTTGGCTTTGAAGCAAAAAAACATGTCGATGTCCTCTTTACCACCTTCCACATTTGCATACGATTTCCCATTAAGATTGTGTTGCAGCGAACGAAAAAGATGATAATCAGATGGTATCATATCTGGAGAATATGGTGGGTTGGGAAGAACTTCCCAACCCAACTCCATAATCTTGTGTTGCGTCAAACGTGCAACATGTAGACGTGCGTTGTCGTGGAGAAGAAGAACACCTTTCTGATTGACGAGTGAAGGGAGTTTCTGATGAAGGGCTTGATTTAAACGTTCCAGTAGCTGACTATAGATCTCTGTATTGACAGTTCGCCGTGGATTGAGGAGTTCGAAATGAATTACTCCTTTGATGTCCCACCAAATGAAAAGCATCACTTTCTGTGGATGGAGTCCAGGTTTTGGGGCCGGAAGTGGTTTTTGTCTAGGACTGAATGTTTTATATTCGCATAGAAAATCCATTTTTCATCACCGGTGATAATTCTGTCCAAAAATGGTTCACGCGCATTAAGCATAAAGACGAAGCAACGTTCATACGTTGGAAACGATGATCATCAGAGAGTTCATGGGTCACCCAAACACCTTCTTTATGGAGTTTTTCCATATTCCTTAGATGTTTAC